GCTAATAGATCTTGATGTTTGACGGAGGAGGGTATAATTCAACGGCTGAATAATGAGCAGAAAAATTATCCGTTGTCAAGAGTACATCTCGAGCATTTCCAATGTGGCGATAGAATTCTTGGAGCCATTCGCCCATAATTGCTGTGTTCATCCATGCTTTGGAATCTCACATCCACTTCCCACCCATTGTCTGAATACTAACGTTTTTCAAGGCCCGAGGCGTCTTATATTTGTCAATAATCCAAATAGCAAGTCGGTCAGAACATGTAGCATTCGTACAAAAACAGAGAGAAATTCGGTCCTTGTTTTTCTTGAGCCCGGGTCGAGATTGTGACAGTAGCTCACGTTTTACGGATCCGTAATTAGATTTTTAATACTAATATTAATTCGTGATAAGATGAAGGGGTACAATCACGAGGTATGAAAATGGTAGAGAGGCAGCCTTAGGAATGTAAGATAGATTGGCTATGGAAGGTGAAATAGGAGTAACTACAGCGAGCTCTATATACATGAGGTGTGGGTGTGGAGGGCAAGACTGAACACCTGTACGCGGTGTCCTCTACGAACCTGGGAGTGAAATATTCTTCCAGAGCCAAGTTCAGTCAAACTTCGCAATACCGAACAAGTTGGCCTACGAGGCAATGATTCAAATTACTCCACCATATCAATCTTTCACTCCCAACGAAATCGATTCCTACCTAAGCCTCATCAAGTTTACAAGTACGACCTAGTACATCCTCATTCCAATGACCATACCTCTTTTCGACTTTCTCTGGCCTTAGCTGGTCGCCAGATACACGCCCACGCCGATATTTACACCCGACGGAGGAAGCAAAGCGTGGCGCACAAATCTGGAAGACAATTCCTTGGGATGAATGTGAGAGGGATCAGGACAAGTTGATAAGATGATGCAAGGGATGGATACTGTCTCAACGGGCGTGGAATTTTGAATTTTGGCAAGGAGTTTTTCGAATTGGGCTTTATGCGTGCCAAGTCTTCGGCTGCGAGAGTGCCGGCGACACTGTAAAAACTGCCATGGTTGGATGGTGCGGTGGTACATCGTCTTGGCCGGTCTGCCAAGTAGAGTCTGGATAGCTTGGACACATATCCCACTTGAGACAGTAGATCACTGGTTCAAATCTGGCAAAACACAACCACTTTTCTCGCGGCGCTGGTATGCATGGATGACGAAGGCATGTTTGGATAACCAAAGTTTTTTAAATTCCCTTTGGTGGGTAATAACGGAGGAGGGTCGACCGTTTGTGTAAGCGAACATACCTCATAGTGGTATTTGCAAATGAAATCCAGAGTATGAGTGTCTCTAACGTCAAAAGAGTTATCCCACATGTATACATAGCGCCGGTCATGTGTCATAGCTAGATAGCTGAATACACATTAAATGATTTAAAAAAAAAAAAAAAAAGAGGTGTGGGTGTTTGCTGAGTAATGCCAAGACTAGATTGGCATTCATGTCACGTGTAGGTGTTTCATGTTCAAGCACCTACACTGCCTTGCTCATTGCATGTTTGGAGCCCTGAGGGCGTAACTGGTACTTAATTAAAACCATCAATTTAATAATAGCTTCCCCTATACAACTAGTCGTATAAAAAGTCATGTAAGTATATATAAGTGAGTCATGAAGAGAAGGACAAGAACACAGCCATCAATGCGAAGATATTGGTAAGAATTTATTACGATTAATTTCGGCTGGCGAATGCTTCTACTCTTGTATATAATAGTTCAGCGTGAGAGAGGTTTACTCCTCACGCAACGTCTTCTTTACTTACCATTTACAATGCATTTGTTTACCCATCTCTTCTTCGGGAAGACCATTTATCCATTGCCCAGTTCTTCATCAGCAAGACCCACGTGTAACACCTACTGCAACTAGTTGCCCATCCATCTCTTCCTTGAGAAGACCTGTCATCCCTTTGACTCATTTATTATCTTCACTCACCACCTAGATCTTCACTAGGCTATACAACGCACTCCGTGGAACACTGTCAAACCCTCATCCTTGAGACCACGTGAAGGCAGCATTTTCCAAAAGAGACCTAACTCGTCCATATTATATGTGTTTTCTTCCTCGGTCTCACCTGCAATTGTCTGTAAAGCTTTCATTTCGGCTTCGGCAGCCGCTAGAATTGAACCAACTTCACCGTGTCGTATCCGATTCTGGATATGGTTTCGTTTCTTGAAATACTCAAGTCAGCGAACGCTGACTTCAGGAAATGGTTGGCTAGCGTGCTGTGGTGATTCTGTCTAGATCTGCTTTGCCCTCTCATGAAGAAAATCGCCAGTTATGATCGTTCCTCCTTGATCAACTCGTATTTGCCACGCCAGGAGAATACTCTCAAGTTCAGGCCAGTTTCCAGCTCGCTGTCGAAGCGCAATAGTACTTGTAGCTTCGTCAATTTTCGCAAAGGTATTGCTCAAGAACTCGGAGACTGTGGACTGGCTTAATCGATGGCAGTACTCAGCGAAGAACCACTCAATGAACTGTTTTTGTGTTGGTTTTGGGACCTGGCTGTGCGCCCATCTTCGCAGAGTACGTCGTTGCTCTACGGAAACTGCCATTTTTGACAACATTTATGGCACCAATCTAACCAAAAAACCTGGTTAAGACGATATTCAGAGGTTGAAGAAAGATAATCGAGTAATCGGTGAATGCATGGGAACAGAGTCCGTTCCGGAAAATACATCGCATAAACGGCAATATCGGCTTAACTAGGGTCTAATTGTATTTACAAGCGCAATTTTGGGAGATATCATCGTCCGTTGCGGGCTGGGCAGGTTCTGCGGGAGGTTGCGCGAGTTTGTATTTCTCGGACTTGATGGTGTTTTGTCATGTAGAGACATGATTCATTCATCAATTGATATCGTTCAAATGATCATAACCATATCACAACGTTATGTATGGACACGATTCATCGTTCGTACTTGTTTTATTAACCATGACTAGTTCTCAATAATATAAGAAACATCATTGACTAGTTATTAGAAATCTTGTCAAGATCATAAACACACAACTGAGACTAGGAGAATTTTACTGAGTAAGTAATTATTCTGTTAAATCTAGATCTGGAGAAAAATATTCTGGTTGTTTGGCTCAAGGTGTATGAACCGGAGCATATCATGTTCAATGATTAATTTATAGAAATCTATCTCAATCACAATCATCATCGTAATTCATGTCACCATCAATAGCTGCAAAAAGTGGTTTCACCTTTACATTACATGTTTTGAGATCTATTTTGTGAACTACCTGGCACAAGATAGATTTCTCCAGAGTTTCGGTGATTTTATGGGTGCCAGTGTGAATATAGGAGAGTGAGTTTTTGTTTCATTGTGGAGGTTGGAATGTTTGTTTTTATTTTTATTTTTATTTTAATTTATTTTCCTGTCCGAGTCTATGACTCTGCAAGAGATGCAGGTCCTCTCTACCTACAGGCCAAGGATGCCTCCCATACAGCTCCCCTCAAACAGTACCACCCCTCACAAGTCCTCATTCGACCATACACTAAGAGGAGCCCTTTGCCCTTCATTATCTCCCCTCTCCAGCCAACGAAACGATGGCCATTTGCGGGTGTATGGCAGCCGGGAAAAATCGCAAAAACCACTGGGTGCGGGGCTCTTCTAATACCGACATTAGGAATAAATCCGAAGACATATTGCCCCTTCTGAAGCGTTCGAAGAGGCCGGTCAGCTGGGCGCTGCAGACTTGTGGGTACCTCGGGAAATTCACCCTCTACCTTTCTAGCCTCCTTCCCGAGGGTCGTGCTGAAATGTCAGAGAAGTCTTGACAGAGAGTGATTGCTGTAAGCTAGCTTAGCCCGACTTCTTTTGTACCGTCCGGGACACTGGGGAGTGCCGTCGACTCACCGACAGATGAAGCCCTCCTGGCTAATTAGCCGAAATCTTGGTCTTGGCGCCCACACAAACTCCAAAGTTGAAAACCCCTCGAAAATGTCAGTCCCAGAATGCCTGTCAGAGACCTATTCCCCATCTAGCTCCACTTCTCAGCCGCCTGTCCTCCTCAGGTTATTTGTCCAAGTAGAGCAACAGTCCCCCATAAGCCAAGACCTCGACTTTATATTTTTCAACTTGATTTCCTCCTCCCGGGTATAAATAGCGTCGTAAATATGTTGTGAGATATGACTAGAATTTAATGGGGCAAGCTCCTGTTTGCAATTGGAGCAACTTCTTTATTTGTCATTGAGGCCAGATGATGCGTGGTTAGAAAGAGTTTGAGGACTCAGACGAGAATGATAAGAGAGGCATTATTGAGAAGTCGTCAAATGGAGATATGCTTGAGGTTGCTTTCGTCTTCGATTCAGATGCGATTCTTCTTGGCTATCCCAGATATGCAAAGCTTACTGAGCGATTACACCGGCACCACTGGAAGGTGAAGAATTCGTCTATACCGGCGATATAAAGCATTGATTGGGCCCCATATCTCTGTTTCATTCTACTTCCTATCATCAATTTCCGACATTCTAAACAACTCACAACCTTCCTTCACAACATGTCTCAGGTCAGTGATCTTCTCGCGTATCATTCGGAGAACTCCATTGAGGATATCCTCCAGTCTTTCCGATGTACCTTCAGAAAAAGATCCTATAAACGCGGTAAAAATTCCATCGCTACCTACGAATAATTTAGCTAATATTATAGCTCTTTCTGACTTTTATCGTGATCTGGGATATTATGTGTATCATCAAATAAATAACAACAACATGAATCAACTTAACATATCTTTCATTAAGACCTCAATCAATATTGTTGAAGGAACAATCAACATCATACATTTCGCAGATCTTAGTTCCGCCATTCTCCATAAAAAGGATGAGCGACGCATTTTAGAATTATCCATCAGTGCACTTGAAAAGGGAGCTAAAGTTATAACTTCATCGGTCCTATCCAAAACTAAAAAGTCATTCACATTGAACCAATAAGAAGACCCCGCTTTTGACGAGACAACCATTGACTTGAAAAATCTCATGACAGCGGATCTAGACAACGACGTATCCTATAGCATTGGAAATTTCTGGGAAGTTTTTTTCGAGGATAAGCGTTGGTCCAAACAGACTTCTCACATATGGAAAAGCTATCAGAAGTATGAGAATGCTGAGAAGAAGGGAAGATTATCAAAACTCCAGGAATTGGAAAACCCGGAAGACATTTGTCACCAGGAAAACCTGCATAAAGCCAAAAGTGAGAAGATACTTGAAATAAACATGCCAGAAAGTGAGATATGGGACTGGCTCCATTTTTTTAGGCAAACATTTTTAGATCAGCTCAAAGGTCCATCGCCAAAACCATCCATAAATCATCCAATATTTATTGAAAAGCCCCTCTCCCAGCTGCGGGGACAATATTGTCGTACGGAACGTACGAGACACTCGCTGAAATCAAAGGGCAAAACCCAACTTGACTTTCTAGTCAAAAGCATTGACTTTCCCAATGAAGAACCTGCTGAATTTGAGAATATAAATTTGCTGGGTGAATTTACCAAATTACCTAGTGAAGAAGAAAGAAAGAAAAAGTTCATCAAATTGTCAAGGTCTGTTCGAGAGGTCTTTTGCGCTCAGCCGTTGCGTCGGTATCTACATGGTTTCTACTTGTTCGGAGACGAATTTGAACTTTGGATTTTTGATCGATCGGGTGCCTACAGCGCAGGACCAAAAAAGATTGTTGATGACAAGGAGATGTTGGTCCGAGCAATAAGCTCGTATCTACTGATGAGCAATGAAGAACTCTGCTGCGATATGTCTATCCTCCAGAATGGAGAAGATAGATTTGTCCATTTCCCCAAAATCGGAGATGTTCCAGGTCCATTGTTTGAGATCAAACCGGAACCAATGGTGCAACCAACGAGGCTAATAACACGAGGCACAACATGCTTTGAAACGAAGGATGAAATGACGATGATCAAGTACTCGTGGACTAATTCGAAAGAAAATACCGAGATTGACTTCTTGAACATTGCCAAGACTGTGCGAGGTGTCGTAAATATTATTGCTTCCGAAGTGATATATGACACCAAATCCCACATGGATAACCTAGAAATTTCCAGTGCCACCCCTTGGGAATTAAGTGCTGCCGAAGATTATACATACTCAGGCACTCATAAGAAAGAAATAGTAAAACCGTCCTTTGTGAGAAACCGCCGTCTCATTAGAATAGCTATGACACCAAGCGGCCGAACAATCTATTCCAGTGGGACGATTCTTGATTTTGTTATGGACATTCGAGATGCCATCAAGGGTCATGAGGGACTAGTGGGTAAAGAGAACCTCGATGGAGATATCTCTGAAGGGAATATAATTTTGTTGAAGACATCTCCAGCCAATGACTTACATGGTATGTTGATTGATTTCGATCTTTCCGTCATGATGAAAGGAAATTTGGCCTCGGAAGATAGACAGTCCTTGACGGGAACCATAAAGTTTATGGCGCTTGAGAGATTGCAGCACGCTTGTGACACAGGAGAGTCTATCAGACGAACTTGTCGTCATGATCGGGAGTCATTTTTCAATGTGTTCATCGTTGGATGCATAGAATATGAAGAAGTATCTGCGAACAAATCTAAGAATCTAGATCGTTGGTGCACGAACGAGGTGGAAAACAGCTTCACAAACAAAAGAGATAGTGTCGTACATTTTGACAAAATTCTCATCAAATTTACGGCCAGTTTCAAAGGGTTAAAGGATTTAGCGAAGATGCTTCGAAAAATATTGTTTAATGATGACGGAGAATATATTGAGACACCACAAGACTGTGGACCTCTTTATAGAAAAATCATCAAGGCATTTGAGGAAACTATCGAGGATATCAAAGGTAAGACATGATTTTTACTAAATGGAAGATCCACTCTTTTGACACGATTTTCACTAACAAATTATTCACATTTTAGTTGGAAGAATCGAGAACAAATTTTTCCAAGCACGTCGAAAATAAAGCGTGATGATGTATATTCACCGGCGAAATGGGATTGATAAACTGCCTGTTACGGCGTGCCGTAGGTTAGATCGAGATCGCTGTTCGCCGAGGGTATGGAAAGATCAGGTGGTGAATACTAGAGAGATGGAAACCCGACGAAGTACTAAGGCTAGAAGGATGCGGGATCGCGAGAGGAATACTATAATAATATTATAAGATTGTGAAGCTGGAGAACTACTTTTCTGTAGCTCCAGCTTCCTTGAGTACAAATAACTATCTAACTCAATTCAACTAAGACAGTTGTAATTTTCCATCATAACTCAAACTGTGACCTAAACCACATCAATTCCAGTTGGCGCATTATCTGGTCTCACCATATAAGTGCAAGTGTTGAGGATGAGCCGAAAAACCTGTTCTGCGAACTTTATCTTCAGGCCTTCTGCTTAGACTCTGGTTCAAGAATGTCTCGCCATGACACAATGCCGGTTTGGATTAATCAGGCAGAGGGTACGAAAATAATGCAGCCTAATAAATGAACAACTGATAAACAATATTATGTATTTCTGTTTATAAATATATAAATTTCTAAAACCGTGGGTAACTGATGACCATTAGGGGCAAAGGTCTGACAAGGGGGATGATTGTGTGTCCAAAGTAGGTGCCTTTCATGTATCCGGGCACTTACTACACAGACCACATCGAGCTGTAATTTAAGACTATTTGATATAGATTAGTTATTCTTTAATAATATATATTTTATCAATATTCCATCTTCAGAATCCACTGTATCAGCCATTTAATTGGTTGAGGATCTAATTGCCTCGCGATAGCCGGAATTCTGAAAATTAGGAAGACACATCAATGAGTTTAGGTCCATGGCGACCGAAGTGTCGGTGCATTAATCTATAAAGGTGTCTATCCGCTTTCGATTGGGCACCCTCAGGTTCTGAGTCATCTGTGTCGGGTTCTGATGAAATCTCCTCGCCATCATTGTCGTAGTAATCATGAATACCTTCTATTGCGGGGTTAAACTTTGATTTCGCCGCAAGTGCTGTACCATGAAAATCGCTTGAAATGTGAGTAACAATGTACAGTCCTTTACTCTGTTTGGCAGTCATCGCTCTTTTGTTGTTTTTCATAATATGTATTTCATTTTCATTGAAAAATCCATTCATCCCTTGTCTACATAGTCGCTTGGCAGAAACCAGATTTACCCCTAAGTTTGGTACATACAATGTATCTTCAGAGGAACGGATGATCCATCTCTACAGAGTACTAACGCCTTTACGCGTTGATTAGAGTATAATTCTCCTCCTCCGACTTGAATGGTAACTTGTCGTGTCTTTTGCAGAGGTCCTCTAAATAAATTAATTTGGTCAGTCATTAGCGAGGTAGCTCCAGTATCAAAAACCCATTCGGCGGGAATGCTCTTACAGATTAATTCCATAGATAAATGTAATCTCTCGTTCCTTTGATGTGGAGCACTTGAATCGACGCGCCATTCCGTTGTATCAGATCCATTATGATCTATGGGATTATGCACAGGGTTACTGCTTTGAGCCGAGTAACCCTTGCTTTTCTTTGCCCAAAATTTTTGGTTTCAGTTGTCTTTTTTCTTATAGTACGGGGGAGCCTTATTAGGATTCTGAGCCTTTGATGTATGACTTTCTTGTCTAATTTTTAGTTGCTCTCCTAACTTCTGGATTTCAGCAATAAATGGACAATATCTCTGAAAATGTCCACCTTTACATATAAAACACATCTATGAAGGAGAAATTGGATCGTTGAGTGAATCTTTTATTGAAATTTCAGAATAGCGCCGAGGTTGGGGCGATGAAGTTTTCCGACGAGTGGCAAAATTTGCACTTTCTTTACTCCGATCCTCTTTATCAACCAATCATTGTATTTTTTCTTCCGCAGTGAGATGCTCTTGTAGGTGGAGGCCATCGATGGTAGGTTAATGTAGTGCGGGAAGCTTATTCATGAGTACAATAAGTAACCTATCATCAGGATAGGCATTCCTTATGCTTATATTTGCTGCGATAAGCTTATTGCGGATACATTTTATCCGCGCCAATGAGGCTTCGATGCCATCGTTCTCATCGAAGTGAAAGTTTTGAATTTGGGTAAGATATTTATTCGCAGCAGTGACACTAATCTTCTGGTATTTACTTTTCAGACGTGCCCAGACCTCGATCGCTGTCCCAAACTTGTCAATTATCTTCTGGTCGTCTTCAATCCAGTAATCAGCTAATGTTGAGAGGAATTTTGCTTGATATTTCTTGAACTCAGCTTTCTTTTCAATGTCCCATTTTTCATCTAACTTTTCAGCTCTTGATCGTTCTGTGTCACCATTTTTAGGGAATTTAGCCTCGGATAACAATCCAGCCCATGCATAAGCTTCTAAAGACGTTTCAGCTGTGTGGAAAAATCTTTTCCCTCTAACCGTAGTTTGATTCTACGAAACCATTGCTCATGATTGTCTCGGTTCAGAATCAGGAAAAGATTCATCGGGGCTCCTGATTCCATTGTGAGATTATTTGTATTACTTTTTCTAGTTTAGTAGCTTGAGTCGTTGCCTCCACTCTTCGTTTCAGTGGCTTCAAATTCGCATTTGCTCTTCGTTTAAGCAATGAATTGAATAATAGACTAAATTACTTATACACAATTCTTAATCGTATCGCATAACGGTGGTCATAACCTGTTAAACTTTAGTGCAGTAGATCGATTGTTGTGTAGCAACTTAATTACTAAAGGATAGTCTCTAATTATTACAAAATCTAATGTCTCACGATGTATGTATGTATTCTAGTCGTATCAGGCAAAAGCCCTACACCCACGAGGCGCAATACTGGTATGTGATCCATGCGGACTCACTACTATCTACATGAAGGGCTTTTCTTGCCAGAGAATCTATAAAAAAAATAGACAGATTACAAATTGAAAAATAATGGCGTCCGAAAAAATCCGCCCTGCGCCTTGTCCTAATTTTCCCAGAAGCTATCCAAAGGAAAAACATTCAAGATCCCTGGGTGTACCAAGGCTTCCCGGTATATATTTTGTGCACCATAACATTTGGTTATAGTCACGAATTCAAAGAATTTCTCCCATCCATTTTCTGCCAGCATCTCGCTCGTCCTCTGGGGGGGTTCCCGTTTAATACTTTTCCAACGCTGTAAAGCTGGTCGGATTTTGTCAGCTTTTTAGCTGAATACAACATGAATTAAATAAAAAAAAGCTGGTCGGCATGTTACAGGCTGCGCCTTAAAACACAGGGCAGTACCTCCACAACTATTCGGCGCGCTACCAGGACGCTCAGCAGTCGACTTGGCATCATGTGTTATACACGATGCAGAAGCTGCAATGAGATCCAACAAAGTCACAGCTATGGTCACGCTGGACATACAAGGTGCCTTCGATGCAGTGCTACACAATCGGCTGCTCGCACGAATGCGAAGTCAGGGCTGGCCAGTACTACTCTGTCGCCTGGTAGAATCATTTCTGAAACAACGAAAAGTTTTGGTGAGACACGAAAAAGGTGTAACTGATGAGAAGCTTGTTGAGTGCGGAGTTCCCCAAGGATCACCACTATCGCCACTTTTATTTATGTTATACATCTCAATCCTACTTGAAGATGGAACCCCAAACTGTATATTCGGATATGCAGATGACATTTCCATTGCTCGCGTCGGTAAAAATCCTAGTGAGGCTGTTGAGGCTGCCCAGGTAGAAGTAGACAGGATAATCCAACGCGCTTCAACGCACATGATAAGGTTCGACCCTTCTAAGTCCGAGCTCCTGGTTATAGGAGGAGGACCGAAGAAGAAACTAGACTCATCCAACCTCGCGGTCAGGGTTGAGGGACAGCTTATTACGCCTTCCGCGTACATTCGATGGCTCGAGGTCTGGCTCGAGGTCTGGCTCGATTCCCAACTGACATTTAGACAACATGTTCAAGAATGGTGTAATAAGGCACAACGACTATCTCACTTTATACGAAGTATTAATAGGGTCCAACGAGGTGCGGCTCCGGGACCATTAATCCGTGCAGTGAACGCAAGTGTAGTCAGTACGGCAATTTATGGCGCTGAAGCTTGGTGGCCTGGACTCACCCGTATCACGACGGTACGAGATAAAAGAGTAAGTACGGGTGTCGGATGGCACCTCAAGTTACTAGATAGGACTATTTTGACTGCTGTTCGAGCCGCACTGCCAGTGTGGCGAACTACACCAAATATACTTCTGCACCGTGAGTCAGGGATACTACCGGCAGAAATTATGCTACAGCAGCGACAGCTCCGAAATGCAGCTAGAATCCGCAGACTCGACAGCTATCACCCTTTGTCGTCAAGGGCAGCTGAGACACCAAAGGAAGCAATTAAGCGACTCAAACTGAGAGAGGGGCAAAAAGATCGTGTCTTCAAGTTTCCAGAGCAATATCTGACACGCCTTCAGAATGGTAACCTCAACCTACCGGCATCAGAAGGGCCTGGACAGCTTTACCAACCGATGATCGCGAGGGCTATGGCTAGAGCCAAATGCGACAAGGAGGAAAAGTCGAAACGGACTAATCATTGGCTTAGAAATCTCCCTGTAGGGACGCTGTGTGTATATTCTGATGGGTCATCAACTGGTCCAGCATACTCAGCCTATGGCTATGCTATATACAGGGACAGAGAACTCATAGCGAGTGGTGGAAATTTTCTCCCAGGAGCAGAGGTCTTTGATGCAGAAATCGTCGGGGCAGTTCGAGGCCTAGAAGTGGCGGCGGAAATTGGAGGTAGTATAGGTATCAAGGTACTCCTCGACAATCAAGAGGCGGTAAGAGCCCTTGTGAGTGGTAGAACGAGCTCTTCATAGTCTGAGGTCCGGAATTTTATTGAACTATCCAAGGCTCAGCCTGCCGTAGAAGTCCACTGGGTTCCGGGACACAGTGGTGTTGAAGGGAACAATAAAGCCGACGCAATTGCAAAGGCAGCCCTTGCATCAAAAACCAGGGAAGGAAATATCCCGAGACC